GGTTTCCTTGACCAACTACTATTCACCCAACTTGCACATGCTAATTCCTGGCTTGAGCAAAGTTGCCATTCATCTACTGTTCAAAAGGCACCTCCAACTGCCTCCCTGATTCTGCCATTTGTCCTGGAGGCTGAACCACTTTCATTTCCCACCCACTTCTGAGTTTGAGATGGTAGCGAAATGCTATAGACCGAATGTTTGTGTCTCTCCCAAATTCATATGATCAAACCTAATCCCCAGTGTGATAGTACGAGGAGGGGCCTTTGGGAGGTGATTAGGTTTAGATGAGGTCATCAGACTGAATCCCTCTTGATGGAATTGGTGTCCTTATAAGGGGATGCCTAGCTGAGAGCTCTCTCTCCACATGTGAGAATGCAGTAAAAAGACAGTCTAGAAACCAGGGAGCTAGAGCCCTCACCAAAAACTTTACCATGATGGTACCCTGATCTTGGATGCCAGTCTCTAGAAGTGTGAGACATAAACTGTTTAAACCACCCACCCTGTGGTGGTTTGTTAGAGTAGCCCAAACCAACTAAGACACTGAGTAAGAAGATGAAGGAATTTAGAGGAGCCTCCACAATAATCAAAAATGAATTAAATAGCAGAAGTTACAAAAATGCCCATACTACACAGATGCAGGGGAAGAGTGCAAGGTTTCCTAGAAAACAATGTGTACAAGCCATCTTCAGATTTATGACCATCAATACTAGCTTTGGTGATCATCTTTATTTATTGAAAAGTTAAAATAGGTATTATAAATGTGAATTCCTAGGGGAAACAAGTATATGTAGGAAAATAAAATTTAAAATACTTAAGAAAGAACAACAGTAAATTTAATATAATCATACATGGCTTAAGGGATTTTTAGGACTATGTAAAAATATATATAACTCAGAAATTGCCCATCAGCATATAATATGTAAGTATGAAAAGGACACCTAAAATTCCATTTTCTCTTCTTTGTATCTTATCTATACATATCCTAAGATATTTTCAAAATGTAGGCTCCACAGTGATCAGAAAGTTGATAATAACAGGCAATACTGTTATAGTTTGGGTACCTGAATGATTTTACACATGCATTTCATTTGAGTGTATCCCACAGTTACAGACCCTGCTGTTTGCATAGACTGTATTTCTGATAGCATATAGCAAGTATCTCAACAAAAACATTGCACATCACTTTTGTACTACAAAGAGAAAACAATTTTGTAGATGCAGTCTTCCTACTATACATTGTCTGGAAGGTGTTTTAAGTCCTTTGCTACTATGCTAACATATGCTCGTGAACTGTGTTTTACTCTGTTGTTTTGTATTCTAGAAAAACCAATTCTATGTTGACAATAACCTGTAGCCCACAGATGAGATGGGGAAAATGTAAGCAGATGGAACACATCTGTTAATCATAAACATTTCTTCATTAGTGTCATCAGATTTATATGTGCTATGTTTTTGTGAAAGGCTCTGACAGCGATCATATTTAATCTATATTTTAAACAATCAAACTGCTGGCCATTTTCGTAGAGGTAGATCAATATGGACATGTAATACATATGGACTTTTTTTTTGGTTATGATGGCTTCTTGTTGTTAAGCATGTAATGTCAGTCACATCCAAATTCTTCCAACAGAGTGGTAAGTACATATTACCTATTCACCAGAATTGGAATACAGGAAGATGTTATAGGATAGTGGAATCAAGGAATAGTTAAGTAAAGGAAATACAAATGTACTATTCCCAGCTATGCCATTTACCTTTGTGACCTTGAGCAATCCTGCACCTCAAACTCATCTATAAAGGAAGTGTAAGGTCATGGGATACACCCATGAAACCATGCAAATGCCTATGGTAGAACTCAAACTATGATCATACAAGTAACACAAATTATTATAAATGATGATACTCCAAAGCATCAATGTTCCCCAAATAAAAATGTACTATTAATTTCTAAATCTTGACTTACTATTGAGTAGATAGAATGACAGAAAAGCCTAAAAATATTTTTCTCATTCATTTTTCTGCCTGGTTCTCAGAATTACTTTGAGGATGCAAGTGCTTTTGTATGCAGACAAGCAGTTTTGAAACTGTGATAGATTTAGAGTAATGAAGAAATGCCCATATTTATACCTCTATACTCGAAAGACTTTGGCCATGATTCCAGGTTTGCTTCTCCCCACAACTTCTAAAGAATGACCTCAGGCAAAGGCCAGGGCACAGGTGAGAGGGCAGGAGGGCTCTATGAAACCATCACCTGCCACAAATCCTCACTGCTACTAGAAGCCACTCTGGACAAATACATTTTAATAGAAACAATTCTTGCAAGTGAAGGATGCTAGTCTTATTTCATTAGCTATTAATAAAATAAACACTTCCCCACAGGATGCATACCCAACCAGAGGAAATAAATCATTTAACAGTAAAATTATTCTAACATCACGGAGATTCACAAATGGCATGCCAGGTCCAGAAAAAATGAAGTTTCACTTAGAATTTCAAAGTCACGACACCTCTGTTTTTATCATCCCATTCAGGATATGACCATGTGGACAACTGCAGGGCAATAGGTAGTCACCGATGCCAAGAAGGGCAAGACAAGATTGGGTAATAGACAAGAAAGGCATTAATGGATGGACTATAAAAACAATTTATCAACACTAATGATCAAATCTAATAGAACAAAAGCAAGAAAGTCTGGGGACATGGGAAATTCAACATGACAGTCACATCAAGTTTACTGAATACAGGTACCTTTATACCTTGGGTTTTGCCTTTTTCTTTCCTGATTGGGACATGTGTTGTGCTTTGCTTCAGACCAGTAACTGTCAACTCCAGGTGCACCTTGGAGTCATCTGGGGAGCCCTGAATGCGGGACCTTGCACATACCAATAAAATAAGAATCCTGGTGTAGACCAGGCATTTTTTAAAAATTCCCCAAGTGATTCTAGTGGGGTGAGGGCTCAGACTGCATTTAGACCTGTTTCTCAAAACAGCAGCTAGCTTTCTCCCTACGACATAACAGATTCTATTTATTTTTTATTTTTTATATTTTTTATTTAAATTCAATTAGCCAACATATAGTACATCATTAGTTTCAGATACTGATTCTCTTTAAAACAAAGCCTTTTACTTTGTAGCAGGAAGTAGTTAAAGATCCCCAATGCCCAAGGCAATGCTGAAGTTCAACCAGGAGCATCCCAAGCCCAGGACATTTGCAAAAACAAAAAGAGTAAATTGTATCCTCAACTTGCCTATAAATTCTTGGGAATACCTAAGACTCTGCTGAGGCGAGAGTTCAGACTTTATATTGTGTTCTCTGAAGTAACATTAACACAAATATCAGGAGCCCAAAACTATTTTCCATGAAAAATTAAGAATTCTAGAGATAAATCAAAGATGACAGGATAGTGTCATTTTTAAAAGGTAGTTAATGCATTGTGGAAAATATCAATTAAAAATGTCTGTCTCATCAATTACCATACACAGCCCATCTTGATCCAGGTAAATACCAAACAACCACTAACGAAGAAAATAATTTTCAGTCTCTAAGATCAAGATTCTAAAAGAACTGGGAAGTGGGATATAAAGGAAAAAACAAAGTCAAATACTGAAGATAAAGGTTGAGCACAGCAGTCATGGGCTGCAAAATCTCTTACAGTAGCAAGTACAAAACTTATAGAGAAAAAGAAATAAAGATGAATTTGGTGCCTGCATCAGTCCTCTGTGTACATTCCTCCTTCCTGGCCAGGGGATGTCCTCACAGGGACTGCAGGAAATGAGAAAACAGTGACATCAAGGTGGAAAGGTGAGGAATTGTGCAGTAGGTCCAAGAGTATTTAAGAATCCTTCAGAACGTATTCCCCAGTTGTCAACATATTATTGACTAATCCTGGGATGGCACATTTGGCCGTCTTCCATTTTCCCCAGAAGTGAAGGAATAAAAACGATCTTTTATTTCAGTTGTGATGATGAAAAGGCAAGAGAAATTTCAAAGTTATAGAGTGTCACGCAAATGTGACCGTCACGGTCACCATGACACCACAGAAGAGGAGGGATGCTAGGAGGTGGAGAGGTGATACACAGAGGAAAGGTCAGCATGCATGAAGCGGAAGTCATGGGGGAACAGGACAGATGCACAAAAAGGTTAAATCATGAAGCAGCTCAATAGCAAACTAAAATAAGTATATGATTAACCAAACTAAAACAAAACTAACTACAAGACCTACAAAGAAAGAGGAGTAGGTGGGAATCAACACCAGTCACCATGAAGAGTGAGCATCCTGCAGATCAATATATAAAAGGAAGAAAGGAGAATGAAACTGGAGAAGGCCATGGGGTGCAGAGATGAAATTCAGAGCCTAAAGGAACGGGTGGCATTCCGGTTAGAGGGGATAGGTCACCGAATCCCACTCACTCTGTCAGAACTTGGGCAACCATGGATACATCCATGAAACTATTTCCCATGCAAAATATATATGGTGGAATTTGAAACATCATAAAACAAGACACACAAATTATGATCACACTAAAAATGTCTACTTAAATACTCAAAAGATGTGTTGTTAATTTCTAAGTGGAGGCTTTTTTTTTCTTGTGGGAATTCAAATTACAAAAAGGGCGCGTGTGTGTGTGTCTTGTGTGTGTATGATGCTCTGGACAATTCTCAAGAGGAAGAGTAGAGGAGAGCTCTATATTTGGTACTTTAATATCCTGCTCTACAAGTAATTTGACAACCACATCTTCAAAGCAAGATGGCTAAGCAGAAGCAAAGGAAAAAAACAAAAATTTAAAAAGAAAAAGGTCTGTGAAGAACAGTAGGCATTATCTAGAACTCTTAGGAATCTCACAACTTATCAGTAAAGAAGGAAAGGAGGGGAGACAACTGTTGGCATCAATCATCCATCAGCAACCCGACACTGACCTGGACCCCTGAGCCCTTCCCCAGGGGGCATGCACTGCTGTCCCTGGACTCTCCCTGAACCGATGATGCTGAGTTACTGTACCTGCAACCAGAGCCGGTCACCCACTACGGTCCGGCCGATGGCGCTGCACTGGAAGGTGGCAAACTGGCCTGCATTGACTTCCACGTTCTGAATCCGCAGGAAGTGGGGAGTTCTGGCTACATGAAGAGAAAGAATTAAAGATATTAGAAGTGGAGATCTGTCACTTACATGTGTCTTTTTTGAATCTATCTGCAATTTGGGGCCCTTCCATTTTGTTTACCTTTGAAGAAAACGCCGCTTTTGCTTATAAGAATGCTTTCAAGATCTCATTATGATTGTAAAAGAAAGGTATCATGAAAGGCTTTGGTGTACTCTGTGAAAGAACAGAAAAGCCAAGCATTCTGGGATAGAACCAAGAAGAAAGAAGATATTTTATTGTTCCTGCTGTGCAAATTATCATAGCTCAGCAGTCTTCTTGTAATAACAGATCTGTATTAATAAAGATTACACTGAAGCCTAATTGATGTTTTGAACAAAAACATATTAGGTATTTATACTAGCAACATGAAAAGAACAGTAAGAAGTTAAATGATGCTGTCAAGGAAACTTTTTTAAGCCAAGTACAAAGCTGTGCGTAATATATATTTTAATTCAACTAACTGGTATGCAGCATTACTTATGTAATATTTCCCAACTACCAAAAATACTATCCCCATAGACAGACTCTGTGGAATTATGTTGGGACTGCCATAGCATGGCAGTTTCTGCTGATTCTTATTCCCAGTTCAAGAAGAAAATATGATTCTAAATGCTAAACAACATTAAGTCTCATAATATACATTGTCCATGGGGGACAACCTTCTGAATAAAGGATAATTCTGTTTGATCTGAGAAGCACAGACCAAATTTCTGCAACAGACTGAACACGTGTGAAGGAACTGGAATGACAGGTCAGGAATTAAATTTTATGATAACCTCTATTTTATAGGAAAAAGTCTCTTATCACAGCAATGACAGGGTAAAAGCAAGGGGCTGGGAGGAAGGAGGTTAGGGAGTAGAAAAGGAAGAGAACAGGATGGTGGTATTTTCTGACAGGGATGGATAAATCTTCTGGAAAATAACTAGAATAAATTTCTTATGCCTTGCCAGGTTGTCCTCACCATCAGCATGTCTTTAGGCCATGTCCAGACACCTTCAAAGAATGGTGCCCCACTACTGAATACCCAAACATGATAAACCAGCACTAATATTAGCCTATGCAGAACATAATTAGGAACGGAAGTGGGTTACTACCAAGAACAAAGAGAAATGCATTTTAATATCAGTAACACACAGGAAAAGCCCATTACTAATTTGGAGGCCACTAGTAATTCCAAAAGTGTATTCATGATGCTTAGCATGCAAAATGTCCTAAATAACTTCTAAAAAAGCAGATAATTATGGCTCATTGTTTATAATACAAATATATATATATTTTAGGATTTTCTTTATTTATTTGACAGAGAGAGACACAGCAAGAGAGGGAACACAAGCAGGGGGAGTGGGAGAGAGAGAAGCAGGCTTCCCGCTGAGCAGGGAGCCCGATGCGGGGCTCAATCCCAGGACCCTGGGATCATGACCTGAGCAGAAGGCAGACGCTTAACTGACTGAGCCACCCAGGCACCTCTCTAATACTAATATATTAATTTAAAGCCCTATGACCTATTTTTCACTATTTTAAATTACGTTTGGCCAAGAATAACATGATGTTGTGGTTTTTAAAGACCTCTGTAAAAAAATCCCTAAATCAAATTTCTCTTCGTCTCTGTTCCCAAAAAAGCTGAAAGATGTTTTGTTTTTAGAAAATGCCAAAAGGTAACATGTTTTGAGCATTATGTGCCAGAAACTTTTCCATTGAACATTCATGAATGTTCTCTGAGGTAAGTATTTTTTTCCACTTTGCAGATGGGGGAACTGTGGGTTCTTGCCTAGTAAGTGTTGGAACCAGAGTGTGAACAGTTCCAAAGCCCAGGCACATTGAGTTGAATTCTTATTATTTGAAATTAATAATAAAATTATTAAAAATTAATAAAATACATATTATTTAAAAATAATAAATGAATTCATATTATTTAAATTGAATTTGTATTAATTAAATTGATTTTATATTCTTTAAAATTGTTTACTTGCAATTTCAACTTCTATAGAATTCTACTCTCCTAACCTCACCTCTGACACAAATGAACAAACTGTCGCTACACAAAAATTCCTAAAAATTACTATTTTAGATTTACCTACATTAGGGGTTCCCAATATTAATAGAAATCATTAAGAATTTGAGAATTTGAGATTTGACTAAATTAACAGGACTAAATTGAAAGCAAGAAAGCTATTTTCTTGTCTAGGAAATATAAGCAAATGAAATATCCTTCTTCAAATCCAACACAGTATGTCCATTATGGCACACCTGTCATCAACTAGAATCTTTTTCAACTGTTTTTCCCTTGTAAAATAATTCAAAGCACATTCCCCCTAGCCACATGGACATCAAACTATACCATGTACACAGCATTCAAGAAAGGAAGAAAGATGATAGAAGTGGTAACTCCTCTGTCCACTCGTGTGTTTGTACAGCAATAGATTTTAGCCACTTCACAGGAATTCAAAGATAGCTGATCAGAGCAGTCTATGCTCTATAGGCTTTCAGGACACATGCACACGTACAGACATACATGCACACAAGCACACGCACAAACACACACACACACACACACACTACCCTACACTGTTATGTTCCAAAGTACGGAGAGGCACGTTTTGCTAAGGGTGAAGAAGAGTTTTTGAACAGAAACTGCCAGAACATGGTAGGAGCTGGCTAGTGAGGGAGCCATTCGTAGACACAGAGTTCACAGCTGGCTGGGCAGACAGGTGGGTAGATCGGTAGGTGGGGTGCCATTTGCAACTGGCATGCTACCGACTGTTGCCAGCTCTCAGTGGTTCGTTCTAGTCCAATAAGGACCCTTGTCACCTCTCCCCCCACTGCCATGGTAGTGTTCCACCTGTGGTAATACAGTCCTTGCTTGCTTTCTCCACATATTTTGAGTATGGGGGCTGCCTCTTCTGTGCCCTCTTTGGAGACACCTCTTGCATCCATGGGTAAACTATAAAAAGGCTTACGGTTTGAGTTACATTTAGAATTAGTATACTCTCTGAAGCTGGGTTAGAATCCCAGGCTTCTTTGTTTAGAAGGTGCCTCTTGGGCTGGAAGCTCTTCCATCAGCTTTTGGTTTTGGCCTCTCTCTTCGCCCTGTTTGGTCCTGCTCCTCTCATGGGAACTGCTCAGTCAGAGGGCGTGCCCCTTTCCAAATCCCTGATGTCCACATGCTCCTGTGTGCATGACTCCTGCGAAGGATAATTTAGAACTTCCAAGGTTCCTTTGAGAAAAATCTCCCAAGCTGGCTCCCATGTACATTGAGCACCACTCCCACCTTCCATACTCCGATGGACATTATCCTGCTCGTTCGACCAGCAGGACCTCTCACTAATGCTGCCCTCTCCTGTCCATCTCATGCCTCCTATCTCTGCTTGCCTCTTGCTAAAAGCCACCGTACTAAGTTGGGTCCCTAAGACAAGGTTTTTGAGTGTGCAGCCATCTTTCATGATAACTTCTGGGAAAGGGGTATTGCCCCTGAGGTGCTATTCTGCTGTTTCACCCACCTGGGTAAGCCCAGGGTCAGTTCCGAGCCTGTCCTAAAAGGTTGGGGAGCATTTTGAGTATCAACCCTGGTATTGTATTCCCTTACATAGTTAAGTTACTAAAAATTAAAAATCAAAAAAGTTTCCCCTAAAAATCCATTGCAAAATTTCCATGTTACTCATGTATGTCTTACGCCTTGGCTTTCTGCCCTGCACCCCATCTATGACTCCTTCTCCTCTCACCTTTGTCTCCCTCCCCAAGGCCCCCAAGGATTTTCTCAAAATCCTTCTTGCTTTTTTTATGCACTACAAGTGAGTTCTCTTAAATTTCTCAACCAGAAGGCCTAATCATAGTGTGTGGGGACAACACAGCTTAGTGTCTACCACTCCTCCTACAGATGCAGAAATGCAAGAAAGATTCTCTTTTCTATAGTAACATTTCCTTTCCTGATATAACCATTAGAGATTTTCAGCCCTTCAAAAGCTTCTACACTTTCTGAGTGGCACAAGGGGAAAGCTAAAATACATTTAGTTTGAACATCAAGAGTAAGCTTCCCATGGGCTAAAATCGTTTAGAAAATGAATTTCAAATCTTGAAATTTTTAATATCATTCCTTATCTAGCACGGCAGGAGAGTTATTTTGGAAGAGCAAGGGCAGGATATCCATATAGTTCTCTTTTTCTTTTTTTTAAATACTATAGCATGTTTCCAAACTGCCTGAGAAATAATATAATTCATTTTCCCCCAGATCTGAATGGCATTTGAAAACAACTTACCTGGACCAATTTCACTTACATATTCTTCCTACTAATACAGTTAATATGCTTTAAAATGTCCAAGATATTGGAAACCAATTTAATTCTTTTTCCTAGGATTTGTGATTTAAATAATTTATTTTTTGCTTTTAGAAAATATTTTCAATAATAAACATTAAAAATAGAGAAGTATTTAATTTTTCAATCATATAAAAATTTATCTCTAAGAAGCAATTTTTGAAATATGCATGTATTTCTGCACACTGTTTTAAAAAATGGACCGTATCCTGTAACCTGTTGAGGACACACATAGCATATTGACCTAAAGCCTGGACAACCTGAAGAAGGTTGGGAAACTGAACTTTGATTCAACCAGAAATGTTCATAGAGATTATTCATTGCACCAGGTGAGGAGACAGATGAAAAGCCAAATCATGAGAACAGCTGAAAATGGGGTAGGGATGGGGAGGGGGTGGAATGAAGGTAAAATTAATTAATTAATTAATTAATTAATTCCACTGGAACCAAAAAAGGAAGCTTCTAGCACCTGGTAGAATCCTCTCTCATGGGGACATATTATGGGCAGCTATGTTATTCATGGATTACTCTGAGGTCAATGGTGGGAGCTTCTGGCTTTGCATCGCACTATCAGAACAACCCCTTGCCATTAAGAAACGTGAGCACCCTCTAACATGGTCTGTTGGTATCTTTCTCCCTTTTTGTGGTAACCATGCATTTAAAAAAA